AGTACTACTTAAGTGTTTCAAATTCAGCCTTGAGGCATGCATGGTTCTTAAATACGGGCACTTAAAATCTTGACGAAAAATTTCTCACTGAACAACTAGGTTACTTTTAAAGTACGTCTGTTGAATGGAAATTGTACATTTACTTTGCAAAATTTATGGTGATTTATGCTAGTGACCGCAACCGGTAGGTGTAAAGCAACAGCAATTCGCACAGTTAATGACCTGAGTAATTCTAGTCCGGTGCAAAACGCATGATCGCACGGGCTCCCCCAGTGCGTTCCAGACTGGATTGTTTATATGCAAATTGCAAAAACGCACATTGTGACGACCCATGGTGTGCGTGTGTGTGCAGGATTTATTTATTGTAACGCCCTTATTTTTTATTTTAATCCAAGTTATACTGTAGCTACAGTATTCAAAACGAACTAATCCTGTGCATTTTTACTTAGCTTTCTTCATACGTTAGAATTGAAAGAAAGACCAAGAGATTTGATGCATTTGAATTATTAGTGGATCCGTGGAGCAGCGCATGGCAGCGGGTAAGAGTATGGTGGATTCAAACAAACACAGAGAAAGCACTATGGACTTAGCCACTTGGAAGCGAAGCAAAGGAGCGCCATTTTTAACGGAACCGGAAATTATTAGCGAATTCGTGGAGCGAAATGGAGATATAAGTTTTGGCAGAAACTTGTGTCCGCGACTGAACCGGGCACGATTAGGGGAGCGGTGCAGTTTAGACTTGAATGAAGGTTATAATACATTCGAGGAGAAGGATCTGTCGAAACCGGAATATATCTACTGCCTGCTGAACTGGATAGTCGAGTGGAGCAAGCGCGGCAATTGCGCATCACTGGTAAGCATTCAATCATTACTTAAGGCAATGTATTGTTTTTTGATCGCAAAATACTGAAAGGTAATCCAAATATAATAAAATTTCATTAATAAGTAAAAATTGGCCAACGCACGGGCTGCCCGTGCGAAGATGCGTTTTTTGCAGAGTTCCCGCAGTTTT